CAGATTAGGAAAGAGTTTTACGGGAACCTTTGGTGAGATGGGTACACGGACAGAGGGCCTTACCGGAACAAGCTTTCTGGAAAGCACTTGGTATTGTGTACTGGTGTTTAAAACCAGCGGCGCAGGAGTCTCAGGTCTGGAAAATCCTGATACACAGAAATGTTCATTATAGTAGCATAACAGAAATTAGCTAAAAAATGGAAAGCATCCTAAATATTTAACAATGAGGGTGGTTTAGTGAATTGTGGCATGTCCAACAAGAGGAATGCAGCCATAAATATTCATAAGGGATTAATAACATGGAGGTTGTTTGCTTATGTTAAATGAAAAAATAGAATGATGGAGAAATAGAAAAACCATGTGCAGAACATGATCTCAAACACTACACAAAATACACAGAGAGAAAGTCAGGAAGAATCACGACAAAAAGCGAGGCTTTCTGAGTGTTCTAGATCCCCCAAGGTTGGAAGGCAGCAAACGTCACACTCTGCTCCCACGTCAAGGAAACGCGTTAGGACTCGGCTCTAATTAGGCTTCCTATGTGACCAGAGCCTTTCCCGGAATTTCTGGCAAAGCTGTGAGAGCCGTGCATTGAGCAACCGTGACAAAGGCTTCTGTGCAGAGACTCGGCACCCCTGGGCTTCCCCTGTCCTGGGGCATCACCCTTTCTGCTCTTTGCCATTCCAAGGACGTACTGGGCTTCTGGAATTCCCCAAGCAGCCCTGCAGTGGGATGCTCTGGTGGTGACGATGAGGATGGGATGAGTGAAGGAGGGAGCTGGCTGCCCCAGCCGCACTCTAGAGAAGCCACTTCTCCCGCGGCTGCTCCAGACCTGCAAAGCTGGAGAGAGAGCCGTGGGACTGTTTCCTTTTGCTCCAAACCTCAAGCAGTTTGACCTCAGTGCATGACTCATCAGAGTGTCTCCCAATCTGCCGGAGCACCTTCTTTGTCTGAACAGTAGACTTTACAGCTCCTGCTGAATGCATCAAGATGGGGCTTTTGTCTCAAGGAAAATGAAATATCGGGAAATTTCCCGTCTTTAAAAATTGACTCTTTTTTGAAATGATCCATATGGTTCATTTTGTTCTCGGTAAGGGCAGTCTAATTTGCCCCACCAGCGCTGCAGGCTTTTGCATCCTGTAGCAGTTAGTGACTGCTCTAGTTGTGAAAATAAACCCAAAGAAGGTGACCTGAGGCTACATATACTTCCCATTGTCATTTTCCAACTTAAGTGTCCTTAATGTAAACAATGACAGATGTACATGGTCCCAACCGTGGGCACACTGCATGCATTCCACCCAAGGAAGCTGTTCTGAACATCGCAGTGCTGGGATGAGACGTGAGACAGCTGCACGCTACCTGCTTTTCAAGTAGCATCTCAGGACACCTGCATTTGTCTAGAGACAATTTGGCAGACAAATTGCTTTCACAATGACAATTTTTAAAGTAACAGAGGAAATGTTTTCAAGTCTTTTCTGTGAGCCAGAGCTTGGTAAAGGCCCCAGGTTGGAGTGTCTGGGTTTGAATCCCAGCTCTGCTCCCATTTCTAGCTTCCTGCTGATGTCACCCTGGGAGGTAGCAGGTGGTGACTCAAGTACTTGGGTCCCTGTCACCATGTGGGAGACCTGGATTGAGTTCCTGGCTTTGACCTGGCTCAGCCCCAGCAGTTGCAGGCATTTTAGGGAGTGAACCAGTGGATGGAAGGTCTCTGTTTCTGCCTCTCTTTCAAATGTACAAATTAAAAACTTAGAAATGGTTTTCACTGACCCTAAAACTCATTCATGGGCATTCTTTGTATTCATGGGTATTCACGGGCATTCTTTGTACATCACTTTCCTACGACTGCCACATCAGAGCACCACAAAAGCCGTAGCTTAAAACACCAGGAACTGGTTGTCTCATGGTTCTGGAAACCAGAGTTTGAAACCGGTGTCAGCAGGGCTCCAGTCTCTCTGAAATCTAGGGGGAGAATCCTTCTTTGCCTTCGTTGGCCTCAGCTGCCTTCAGATTCACTGATGTTCTGAGTGTCTCTGTCTTGTAGAAGGACACCGGTCAGTCTGCATTAGGAGTCTCCATTCTGCCTACCTATGTCTACAGGATACCATGTCCAGATGAGGTCAGGGAATGATACAGTCCAGTCTGTTTCATGTGCAGCCTAATGGTTTGAGGCTGAGCCTGATGAGGTAGTCAGGGCACAGCATGGGGTCCTAGGAGTAGGAAGCCAGGGTGCAGAGAAGGAAGGGAGAGTGAGACTTGTGGACTCCACTTCAGGAGTTTGCCCGTAAATCTGGTGGCCATGATCTCTCCCCGTGTTTGGTTGTTTGGCTGCAGGGACTCTGGGTAGCACTGGCAATATGTGAACAATTCCCAACTGGATACAGTCAAGTCCGACACTTGAGTCCAGGCCGCAAAGTGAGATCTGTGGTTATGTCCAAGGCACTCTCTGCTGGTGCCATATGTTTGAAAATGTCTAAATTTTGTGCAGAGACACATGAGTAGCGTTTTCATGAGTGGAGTTACATAATTCGGTCATGGGCTTGCATAATAATTAGTGTGTATAATTAGGCACCAACTTCTTGTCCTTTAATTAGACAATCAAGAATCTAATTACAAAATTAAGATGTAATTACGTGGCCCAAGATCTACATATTTTTTTCTCATTAGAGATTACATTTAGAAAATAATTTACAAAAACTGATGAAGAAATGAACATAAACACCTGACTTAAGGACGTTAAAGAAAATATTAAGCGGGTTGGAAAGTCTCGTTCGGTCTTTCCTCATGGTGGAAGGGGAACTACTGAAGATATTATCATCTGTCTGGAAGAGTAACTTTTCCAGCTGTGCCACGATCTTCAGCACGTGCACTAAAGAAGGCGAGTGTTAGCGTGACTCATCCACGGAATTCACACGTGGCCCTTGAAGATGGCTGGCAATTGAACGTGGACTTAAATGTGATGTCCTGGAAATTCATACAGATCTAATAGTGCCCCAGACATGAAGCTCTTAAGGGAGCTGAGGGGCTGGCACTGCAGAGTAGCAGGTAAAGCCACTGCCTGCAGTGCCAGCATCCCATATACGTACCGGTTCAAGACCTGGCTGCTCCACTTCCAACCCAACTCTCTGCTATCGTCTGGGAAAGCAGTGGAAGACAGCCTAAGGGCTTGAATCTTTTTTTTTTTTTTTTTCTGCTTTCCCAGGTGCATTAGCAGATAGCTGGACGGGAAGTGGAGCAGCCGGGACTTGAACAGGCATCCATATAGGATGCCAACACTGCAGGCTGTGCTTAATCCGTTACACTCCAGTGCCAGCCCCTATTTATTTATTTTTAAAATTGATTTGAAATGCAGAGAGAGAGAGAAAGAGAGAGAGAGAAAAAGAAAGAGAGATCTTCCACCCTCTGATTCACTTCCAAATCGCCTGCAACGGCCAGGGCTGGGCCAGACCAAAATCAAGAGCCAAGAACTATATTCAAGTCTCCCACGCGGGCGGGGGGCAGGGACCCAAGCCATCACCCGCCACCTCCCAGAATGTGCTTTATCAGCTGGACGCACACTGATAGAGGATGTGGCTGTCTCAAGTGCAGGTTTAACCTGTCCCACTACAATGCCTGCCCCTGAAACGCTCTGATTTTAAGTCCCCTTTACTGGACTGTAAGTGGGAACAGGAAAAATCAAAGAATATAGCAAACATTCCACCTTTCTGATAGGGGAGTGATTCTGACATCAGCGTTTTTCCTCCATTTTTTCCCCGAGTTCCGGTTCTCTTGGGAGCCAGGCTGTAGTGTTATTCTCTGTGTTCTCCTTGCTCCTAAATTGTGATTTGGCTGATCTCCACAGTATGCTAAACACCCAGTTTGACTCATTAATTTTTCTGAACTAACTGAACTTTTGACCTAATTGGCTGGCTGGTTAGGGATCAGGGCCATATGTCTAGGTTTGTCTAAGCCAGCTCTGACTATAACTGCTATCCCTCTGTTCCCATAAACCGTTGGAATATCCTATAATTCCAATGTTTTGACAGCCACGCTACACTTCCCAGACTGCCGCTTTCTCCTGGAAAGTGCCACAGAAATCTGTCGGACCACGCTTTCTAGATTTTGGTTACAAAACATGCTTCCCACATGGCTGCAGGCTGGGCAGGAAAGGCTTAGAGAGGTTGTATGCAGTTGGCAATGGAGAGTGCCCGCCAGGGTGTGCCTCTGCCCCCATTTTTATCTTTCTTAGGCCAAGGAATGTGATGAGGGACAAATTATGTAGAGAGGCTGGGGTCAGTCTTGACCAAAAGGACACACAGATGAGCACAGGGAGCTTATTTCCTGCCACTGCCAGTTTTCTGCCTGGCCTTTCAGCAACTGCTCACCACAGACAGGGGCAAAGGGACTGAGCGGGGCCAAGGGGCGTTCTTACGGTTCACTGGGGCCGGCACTGCAGCGCAGCAGGCTAAGCTGTGGCTTGGGACATCAGCATCCCACATCAGAGTGCAGGTTCCAGTCCTGGCTACACTGCCTTCCCATCCAGCTTCCCGCCAGTGCGCCTGGCCTAGCCCCAGCTGCTGTGGGCATTTGGGGAGTGAACCACAGGATGGAAGATGTCTGTGTCTGTCTCTCTCTACCTATTCTCTGTGTTTTTCCTTGCTCCTAAATTGTGATAAAAATAGATAAATAAAACCACACACACACACACACACACACTCAGAGTTTACTGCTAGGATTCCAGGCGGGAGGACCAGTGGACTACCTACCTCACCTTGATGGCGCCTCCTGACTCTGAGGGCTGGGGACCCCTTGATCTCTAGCCCACCACTCCCTCGGGGAGAATTTCTCGGCTCCTAGCAGATCTACTTACTTCTAGGCCACCCTCTTCCGTATTTAGATGAGTTAACCTGACACTTTCCCTCTGTTCTCACTTCCAGAGAACTCAGTAACTCTGACTCCTAACGGGGCCAACAGCAGGAGCACAGACTGCAACTTCTCATTCTAGAACTTGCTCTCCCTCCCAGGTACTCCACGTCGGCTTTCTCGAGACTGGAGAAGTTGGGCATCAGCCATCCCAAGCCCTCCCCTTTTATTGGAAACTTGCCGTTCTTCTGCCAGGTAAGGAGCTGCCGTGCTGAGCCCAGGGCCAGCCCCCGCCAGGCCGCCTACACCTAGCATGGTCCTCTGCTGGAGTGAACTCTGAGTGAGGGTGGCGATGCCCTTCTGCTCCGTGCTCACTGTGTGCAGTCCTGTCACCCAAACCCTCAACCCTACTGAGTATCGAAAACCATGCCAGGGCCCGGAATGCAGAAGCACAAGTTACTCACATCACGTAACAGCGACAATTCCAGAAGGGACACGCACTAGCACCTGCATGGGAGGCACAGGTGGTAGCTGTGGCCTCCTTTAGGGGGGACATCGCTTAGGGCTGGGTCACCCAGGGACTTCCTGAGGAAGACAGCCCTGCGTGTGCACAGTAATGCATGTGACTGCTCCAACAGGAGAATGGTGGAGCAGGTCGACCAGCACTCTGCACCAACTAGGAGCTGACCATCAGGGGGCCCTGGGGTGTAGCTGTGATAGAGAGAGGAAGACCAGATGACTTACAGTCCAGAAAGGCAAGCAAAGAACCATTCCTTTGCTACCCTTTTTGAATAGGAGAGGCACATGAACATGGAAGATTATTCTATAGGAAGAGAAACTCTGGTTAAGGCTGTAGAATCCAGCTACTGCTGAAGGGATGAGGCCTGGGTGTAGGCTGGTAGTGAGAGCAAAGAGAAAAGGAAGCTGGAGGGGCCGATGCTGTGGTGCCGGCAGTGCCAGCATCCCACATGGGCGCCAGTTCGAGTCCCAGCTGCTCCACTTCCCATCCAGCTCTCTGCTATGGCCTGGGAAAGCAGTAGAAGATGGCCCAAGTCCTTGGGCCCCTGCACCTGCGTGGGAGACCCAGAGGAAGCTCCTGGCTCCTGGCTCTGGGTCAACCCACCTCTGGCTGTTGAGGCCATCTGGGGAGTGAATCAGTGGATCGAAGACCTTTCTCTCTCTTCCTCTCACTGTCTGTAACTCTGCCTTTCAAATAAATAAATCTTTTAGAAAAATAAAAAGGAAAAGAAAAGGAAGCTGGAGGCAAAATTAAGGACTCTTGTGACTAATTAGATACAGAAAACTCAAGGCAGAATGAGCCCACGTTTTGAGCCAGGAAACAGGCAGAATGGGCATGGGTGGACAGAAGCAAAAGGCCGGGAGGGCAGTGGTTAGGGCGCAGGCCTGTTTACTTTAGGCATGTTGCCATGGATTCCGAGTGACATGGAGGTGGGGTCGGTCAGCAGGCAGCTGCAGAACAGGCCCAGAACTCGCCGAGGGCTTCTCAGAAGTCAGATGGCTTCTACTGCTGACTCAGGGACAGCAGACCCAGTCAGACCCCCAGACCCAGTCAGACACCAGAGCCAGTCAGACCACCAGAGCCACTCAGACCCCCAGACCCAGTCACGCCACCAGACCCAGTCAGACCACCAGACCCAGTCAGACCACCAGAACAGTCAGACCAACAGACCCAGTCAGACCCCCAGACCCAGTCAGACCACCAGAACAGTCAGACCACCAGAACAGTCAGACCCCCAGACCCAGTCAGACCACCAGAACAGTCAGACCAACAGACCCAGTCAGACCACCAGAACAGTCAGACCACCAGACCCACTCAGACCACCAGAGC